GTTCTGACTATGTATCAAGAGTACCTAAACATTAACAGCCCCCAGCCTTTGCTTTCAAAGTCTGAGATCAAGCTGTGAAAGGCCTTCGCCTGTCACTCAAAACACCAGGAGTTCATGCTGAACTCCAAGAACTGGACTTCACAGCCTGTAAGTTTGGTATGGGCAGGCTATGATTATTTTTTGTCTGCTCGTGGAAGATAAAACCGTGTACCCTACAGGCCCCCGCACGGGAGAGAACGATGCGGGGACAGCCTCGGCCTCCAAGAGAGCCCGCCCGCAACACCGGGTGTGGCGGAGCCTCCCGCCGGGCGCCCTGCTCTGACCGGCCCGGCGACAGCTCCAGTCTCTCCCCGGCTCTCCCCGCAGCCCGTCCCGCCCGGCCCGGGCTCCCCTCACGTACCCAGCGAGCGCCCGGGATCACCCACGGCCGCCGCCTCCTTCCCCTCCGGCCGCTCCGCGCCGCTCATCGCTGCCTCTCCCGGCGCCCTCCGGCAGGGCAGGGCAGGGCACGGCGGGGCAGGGCCGCCCGAGCCCGGGGCAGGCGGGTCCGGCTGCCCTCACCGAGCGGGCGGGCCCGGCGCCCCCCGGCCCGCGCCCCGCCGCCGCCGCACCACCATGGAGCGCTGCCGCCTCCGGCTCCGGGGCTGCGCCGCGCGCGGGCGCGGAAGTGACGCGCGAGCGACGATGGCGGCGTTGGGAGACGAGTCTGGTACCGGGGCCGAGCCTGGTACCGGGACCGAGCCTGACAGCGGGGCCGAGCCTGGTACCGGGGCCGAGCCTGACAGCGGGGCCGAGCCTGGTACCGGGGCCGAGCCTGACAGCGGGGCCGAGCCTGGTACCGGGGCCGAGCCTGACAGCGGGGCCGAGCCTGGTAGCGGGGCCGAGCCTGACAGCGGGGCCGAGCCTGACAGCGGGGCCGAGCCTGGTACCGGGGCCGAGCCTGACAGCGGGGCCGAGCCTGACAACGGGGCCGAGCCTGGTACCGGGGCTGAGCCTGGTACCGGAGCCGAGCCTGACAGCGGGGCCGCGCCTGACAGCGGGGCCGAGCCTGACAGCGGGGCCGAGCCTGGTACCGGGGCCGAGCCTGACAGCGGGGCCGAGCCTGGTACCGGGGCCGCGGCCGCCCGCTGGGCCGGCTCAGTGGCGGTGCCGGGCGCTCCCTCCCGCCGCTCCCCGGGGGTGCCTGACTCGCCCGGAGCGGTCTGGAGCCGCCTGGCCCCCGGAGCAGCCGCTGGGGCCGGGGCTGAGCCTCGACGCGTGCGGGTTCCAGCCCCGCGGAGCCCCCGCTGTGGCGCAGAGGTGCGATGGCCCCGGCCCAGCCTGCCGGGGACAGCGGCTGCCAGGCGGGAGCAGCACAGCACAGCGCAGCACAGCGAGCTCTGCTGCCCCTCAGGAATCAGCTAAAGTCACCGCAGGTGCCCTTTCTTAGGGACATCCCAGCTCTTGTATTTTACAGATTTGTATTCTCCAGAAACTCTGCAGACTTTATACTACTTGTAGCTTTTGTTTCTTGGGAAATTAGTTTTTGTGTATTCGTTTGTCTGTGCATCTCCCCCAACAGTCTGCAAGAGCGGTAATAACTTCACACATAATCTTAGAATATTCTGAGTTGGAAGGGGCCCAGAGGGATCAATAAGTTCAACTCTTAAGTGAGTGGCCCATAAGGGGATCAAACTGCCACCTTGGTGTTATCAGCACCCTGCCCTAACCAACTTGAAAGTATAAATATTCTTTAATGAAAATCAGTTTTGTATGGTAGTATTTATATTTTTTTCCTCTTACCAATAAAGGTCTATTCAGGAAATGCAGGTGCAACTACAGAAAGAAAATAATGAAGGACCACTCAGAAAGGTTTATTTTAAATGCAATATTTAATATATCCCCCAACCTTAAAGATTAAATTCAATTCAGGCAGTCCCCCTAATGCTCATCAGACACAGACTGAGGCAAAAAAAAAAAAAAGGTCTTTTGAGGTGAACATTTCTAACATCAAAATTGTTGCAAATTCATTTGCTTTTTTCTTCATATGCATATTCTAATTAACTTTTGTTCACAATTATGTCACTGTTCCATCATCAGATTAAAGACTTACCCATTTTTCTGCTTTTTTAAAGGAGCAACAAGAGGAAGATGTTAATTAATGCAAACAGACTCAACTAAAATTCTTAATTCTAACTGGTTAGCAATTTTACTTAAAAGTTTCTTTTGGTAGGGGGGAAAGCCCAAAGCTTTTGTTAAAAGTTTCACTGGGAAAGACTTCACAGTTTCCAGATGGAATTTCTAGTAAGAACAAGTGAGATAATGATTCTGAAATAGTCTCACTTGAGATGTGGGAGTTTCAGATTTGTGCTCCTGCTTTGCCTGTTCCAGGCCTTCCCACGTCTTGCAGAAATAGACTAAGGATTGGAATAGAAAATGGTATCTGGTTTTCTAGACAAATTAAAATTTAACTGTTTGTCAACCCAAATGTTCCAAAAAAGAGAATGATAGAAAACTTTTCTTGTTCCTTTTCTTCTGCAAAACATCCTCTGTTTCACAGTAACTATTTCCCAAGTGCCTATGTTTGTAATACTGTTAACACCACATAATTGTGTTTAATTTTCATTTTATGTTGTAGCAAATGTGTTCAGAAACCTTTAATGGACACTATCACTTAGGCATTTTGGATTTTGTTGTTTGCAACTGATTTAAGCAGTTACATATATTGTAACCGTGCCCCTCCCTAGAAATGTGAGTGAAAATGGAGTTAAGCTATCTTGAATTGTATAGCAAATAGGATGTTTTGAACCATCACCTTTGGATGTGCCACATGACTTCAGGGATGACAACATGAAAAGGAAATACTTCACATTAATAGGTAACCTCTTTGAGACGCTCATCAAGTCCTCATTAAGTAAACGAGACTATAGAAAGAGCACAGCCTTGGCTATTACAATGAAGAAATTGAGTGTAGCTGGTACAAACAGTTCTGCTCAACAGCAGCTCATCTTTCCAATGTATGAGCTGGTTCTTGACTTGACAACATGTCTGGTCTGAGTTATTCAGTAAACGGTGAGCTGGCAAACCTTGGTGCACTGGCTTACTCTATTAGTCCCCCCAGCTAAATCTCATTCCTTGGTGCTGGAAGTTTCTGTTCCTGTAGGAGTGGCAAAGCTCCAGCGTAAAGTCTAGCATTCTGGGACAGTTTAAAACGCAGTCTCCTGGAACCTGGCTGCTCATGTCTGTGTGTCCCTCACTCACTTTGTGCTGGTACAAGGGGTGAAACTCTTGAAGCACAGAGTGAGTTAAATCGCCCAGACAGAACAGAAACATCAAGAATGGGTGAACTGGAACACAGCTGGGAACACTTTGCTAGGCAGCAAGGCTGGCTTAACTGGTTCCTATCCTTGGCTGCTCATTCTGACTCCCACACTATTCGCTGCCCCCTTGTTGTCATATGGATGTCTCTGCGAGTTGAGATCATGCAAGCAGTCTCAGTTACACAGACAAATATATCCAAAACCCTTCCAATATGCATTGTTTAATTTTTACCCATTTCAGGGACTGGGTTCATTGTCTGGCCCCTGAACAACTGTACTGGTAACAATGCTGGGGGAATCATAAGGTGGGTAAAAGGGCAGGAGATGGCACCACTTTAGCCAGTTGAAGAAAAATAACCTGACATTACATGCTCAGGAAAACAGCCACATTGTAAAGTGGCAAGGGAGCTCAGATAAAGTATCATACCATCTATTTTTGGACATCATTAAGAGAACAACAATAAGCAACCTCTGCCAGTCTACCACGGAGGACTCCTTTCCCACAGGGCCAGTTCCAAGAAGGGGCTCGCTCCATGTCCTGCAGCACTGCCCTGATGCCTACCAGAATCTGCTTTCAGCCTTGGACAAGGAGTGCCTTTCTCCAAAATCCTGCACTTCTATACAACTCTCCAGTCTTCCCTTGGTAACTTCCTTCAACCTAGTAACAAAGCAAGATATGAACCTTCTCTCTGACAAGCACGATTTCCCAGAAATGTTTACGGCTTAGCAAACTGACTGAATACAGTAACAATTTGACCATAGGTACAAACTGATGCAGAACACATGTAGGCTGAAAATCAGACCATGAGGAGCAGGAATAACCTCTCAGAAAAATTAGTAAAGGCAAAAATCTATTTACTCTTATGTTAGAGCACAGCTATGACAGGAATTATACAACAGCAGGGTCCCTGAGGTTTGTTTCTTCTTACATCCTTTAAGGAACGTCCAGAAAGGCATATGGGACTTCCTACAACTCTACCTTAACAGAGTTACTGAAACAATGTAAAGACCTGTGCCGTGACAGAAGAGAAAGGGAAAAGAGAAAATCAATGCAAAGTTCTGCCGTTTAAAATCTGAAGCCAGAGCACGGAACTATGCAGTTGAGGCTTCCAGCGTACTGAACACAGCTTCCTTTGTATCACCGACCACCGTACCTGCATTATATGGCTTTAGCAGTTCTTAGTTTCTACTTCGCATGGCATTTACCCACTGAACAGAAAGGCAGGGAGGGACGGGAGCAGCCCCTCAGGCCACCCCGAGGGAGGCGTGGGTGCCGCCGCCGCACCGGGCGGGCCCCTCCGCCCCTCGCTCCGCGGGCAGCGCGGGCGCGGCGAGGCGGCGGCAGCGGGACTCGAACCCACGGCCGTCCCGCGCGGGCGGCGCAGGCGCAGTGCTGGCGGGGTCCGCGGGCGCGCAGGGGACGCGACTCCCACCAACTGCTTCCGCCGCCGTACGCGGAGCAGCCCCGGGGGCGCGCGGGGATTGCGAGGGCGGCGCGCTGCCCGCGGAGCGGTGCGCGGAGCGGAGGGCTGTGACGCGCATGGCGGCGGCGGCGCTCCCCCTGCGCCGGCAGGGAGGCGGCCCCGCGCCGGGAGCCGCCTGCCCGGCCGCGGCGTGAGCGGGGCTGCGCCGGCTGAGCGCTGCGCGGGGTGACCGGGGCTCCGGCGGTGACAGCGCCTCGCGGCGCGGTGCCCGGCGCGGAGGAGGCGCTGTGGGCCGGCGGTGCCGGGGCGCTCCGCGGCGGAGCCCCGCGCCCCTTTCCGTCCGACCTGCGCGGGACCCGCGGGCGATGTAGGGGACATGCCCTGACGGGACGACGAGCGGTCGGGGTGCCGCCTGCGAGGGCACAGCTGCGCCAGCGGAGCCGCCCGCGGCGGGTCGGCCGCGCCCGGCGAGGGCCCCGAGCGCCGCTGCTATGGCTGGGGCCGGGCTCTGGACCAGCATCAAGTCCCTGCTAGGGAGGAGCGAGGACCCTCTGCTCCTGAACGACTCCAGTGCCTTTGACTTCTCGGACGAGGTGGGGGATGAGGACTTCCCCAGGTTTAACAAGCTGCGCGTGGTGGTGGCGGACGACGGCTCGGAGGCGGCCCCGGAGACGCCGGTGAACGGGGCGTCCCCGGGGCTGCCGTCCGACGACGAGTCCCTGCTGGACCGGGACATCGCCCTGCGCAGCGCCCGGGCCGGCCGGCCGGACCCCTGCAGCGGCTGCAGCAGCCGGCGGGAGCGCTCCAAGCAGAGGAAGGTGAAGAAGCGGCTGACGCTCGCTGCCCTCCTCTACCTCCTCTTCATGACGGGGGAGCTCATAGGTGAGTCGGGGGCCTTCTGTGCCGTCCCTCCGGCACGGTGCCTGACAGCTTGTTAGGCTGTTGTGGCCTTGGCTTTGAGTAGTTGCTGAGAGAAACCATCATTCCTGTAGAGAGACCAGAGAGATGAGCTGCACGTGCAGAGTGAGGGGGGAATAAAGTCCATCTGTATTTTCCTTGGAAGAATTTGCAACTTTCTTTACCTGAATCTCTCATCATTTCACCGAAATGGCATAAAATATGCAAATTTTTCTTTGTCTAATAGATTTTTATTTCTTCTTGTAAGTTTTTAAGTTGTTTTTAACAAAGGAAAAGTGGCATGAACAATTTCAATTGCAGTATTTTTTAATCAACGACCATAAAATCTTACTGTGTTTGCAACAAGAGAAGAAGAGGAAAATATAGTTTTAAATCCGACATTTAGTATAATAATGAAAGTAATACTCTGGGATATTTTTCCTTATTCACCATATACACCAATACACACTATTACTTTGAACTAAAAGTCCTGAACTATCAATGGCAATCCAGTAGAGACATCACTCCCTTGAGAACTTCTTGATATCATACTGTGGCCTGGACTAGCATGTGCTCCATCCAGACATAAATCATATGAGCACAGTCAAGTCACAGTTATTTTAACACTTCCTGCTACAATATATAAGAATACCAAGTAGTTGCATTAAATTATTTGTAGTTTTTGTCAGTACTTGCAGAAGTATAGTGGGGTTTTACCTGAAAATGAGTTCCCATATAAGCACCTGATTGTTGGTCAGAAGAATGAACCTATTGCTCAAGTTCAGCTTTTATTGCTCCCTCCTAACGGCTGTGCTGCGCAGGATGAGGAGAACCTGTGTATTATACACCAACATTATACAACTGTGCTTTATCAAATAGGCTATAGCAGCATAGACTTGAAATAAAATGTGTCCTTGAGATGCATAGATTAGCTGTTAAGTGTTATGCCTTTGACATTGTCTTATCATTTTTACAAAGTTCAGTATTTATCTTCTAATCTCTGTTCACTTACTGTGTCCTCTTACTATTTTGGATATCTGTATTTTGGATACATCCATGCCATGCCGTGCAAGTGTCTGTTGGGTGTGACTCAGCCTCCTGAAAAATGCTTTAATGTTCTTATCCGCTGTCCCCTGATTTGGAGTTGTGGGGAGTACTACACAGTGCCAGTACATTGATATGTATGTTGAGCTAGATCTCTCCATAGCAATTAATTGCTTTAAAATTTCTTAAATTTCAGCATTCAAGTCTGAATCAGAGCTAATCAGATTAATTACTTGCCATAATTCAAGCACACACACACAAATCTAATAATAAAAACTTTCTGGAAGTGAAGAACAGTAGCATGTTCTACATCCTCCTCCTGACTTCTGCATATTGAGTCAGTTGAATACTTGTGTGAAGTGAGCTCATGCTCTTGGATGCTTTTGCTAGGACGACTGTGAATCGTGTTCTTAACACAAACTTGTGCAAGATGGATAGGGGACAAAATAATTGCTAGAGTATAACTAATGCAGTTTGTCCCACAGATGTAGGGGAAAAAAAAAACCCTACAAGAAATATTCAATTTTTCAGAGAGAGACCAGAATATTGACTGTGTCTGCACCAGTTTTATTTGGGGCCTTTTTTCAGGAATGTGGGTTAATGGAAAAAAGTGGTTTTGCCTTTCAGCGTGTCTCAGTGTGTGGCTGGTCATTAATAACATGGCCACAATACATCAGCTTATTATGGCTAAGGCTCGATGTGTCAAACCTGAGGGGATTTGGCTGAATGCCTCCATTTGCCCCCTGGCTCCATATTTTTTCTCTGGCTGAGATTTTGGTTCAGCATGAACTCAGGTAAATTTGATGTTGTATTTTAGGCTTAGACATCCTTTAACATAAGAGTGATGCTAGTTGATTGTATCAGAGTTCTGATGTACACTGAATTTAGTTCAGTGGCCTCTTACTGAATAATGACCCTCAATAATGGCTTCAGTGGCCCTCTTAGTGAAGGGCCTCTTACTGAATAATGTCCGAGCTGTTGGCAGGTTGATGCTCAAGTCACTGGGAGCGTTTCTTTTTGGGGCTTTGGATCCGATTCATGCTGTTGGAGACCTCTCCATAGCTAGTGCAGGGACAGCTCTGGAAATAATAGATGTTGAGAGTAGAAATACTCTGATCACTGTCACATCAACTGTTGTACTTCCCGCAGAGTCGGGACTTGAGCAGGCTGGATTTGTCTGTACAGAGTGTTAATGCTGAACTGTGGACTCATCCTCCTCAGGTCTGGGTGTGCTGTTTCCAGCCATATTTCTTTCTTGGGACACAGAATCAGAGAGCACTGAGAGTCAGACCCATCAAATATTCAGGCATCCATCTTCCACAAAGAATAAATAGAGGGTTTGGATATCTCTGTAATTCTGTGGATCTTGTCACAGGGCAAGTAATAATCAGCAGAAGAGTAGAGATATAGCCCCCAAGTCCTGGGTCAGTGTCCCACCTATTTAATTTATTTAACTCCAGCCCTGTACTGTATGGTCTTTGGTTGGTTTCAAATTTCCAAACTTTATGAACAGATCTGAAGCTCAGGTATTTGGGAAACTCTGGTCGTGTAGGATATTTTAACTGACTTCTGTCTATGATCTTTGACAGATTTCAGTTTCTGAGAGAAAGGCAGAAGACTACAAGACAATTAATTTTTTCAGTAAAAATCTTTCTGGTGTCTTGTTACCAATGTCAAGATGAAGGAAATCTTGTTTCAGCAGCTTTTCCTGTGAGATCTTGATTGGCATATTTTTTCCAAACTCATTACTTTAGCCTATCTCAGTGTTTGTTGCTTAATTTGATTACCAGTTGGATAACAATTTACACTTTGGGGAAACCATTGTGCATTAAGAAATGAAAAACATATTGCAAGTCCTAGTTAGTTTTTCTCACAGGGTTTTGATGTTCTCAGCTATGTTTAGAAATTTCTAATTGATCATCCATGAGGAGAACTGCTGTCCTTCATGGGTCACGGAAAACAGTGGTGAGCCATCAAGCTGTTTATTTGTAAAGATTATAGATGTCTTTTTTTCCAAGTTGCCAATTGTATTTAAACAGCCCCTAGGCAGTTCCTTTAACCACGTGATGAACCGATACCTTTAGAAACAGAGAACCTTTGATTTCAGGATTTTGTAAATGGAAATTATGTTTTCTTAATCCACATGCTGCATTATGTTTAGCTTCAGTATCTGAATTCCTTCCTTATAATTTTATTTTGAAAATCTTTAAATGTGAGAGGCTAGCTGAAGTGGAATTGACTCTTCTTGGACTGAAGTGATTCTCAAAATAATACATATAAATCAACATATATACTGTAAATAATTATATATGTAAAGTACTGCACTAAATGTCCTTACATATTGTTTCTTCTCTGTTGACTATAAAAGAGGTTGAGTTGCACTTTCTAAATATTTTTTTTTAAATATGTGAGAACACAAATTAATTCAAAAAGGAAAGGCATAACTCATTTTACTCAAAAAGCTGCTGAAGTGCTAAATCTTAAAAAGTCATTGTTTATGAGCTGTGATGGCCTTTTGGAGAATTTCAGCCTCAGAAGAATTTGACATAGAAAGTTCAGAGCAATTGAAGAAAGAGGCTGGAGGAAAGGAGCTGTTTGAAATGTAGTGCATTTGGTAGGTGGCCACAGCACAAACAGTACTGCAGTACAGCTGTGCTCCGTGTTTGGCTGGGGAGGAGAGAGCAGCTCTGTCTGCAGGTGTGTACATAAGAACACCCACAGCCACACACACACAGGTTTTGTGACCAGTCTTAAAACCTATCAGCCAGTTGTGAATTCCCCTTTGCTATTTTCTCTGGTCAGCCTCTTCACTAAGACAATTTTAATTGTATATGAAGATTGCTTTGTTTGAAATGTTAGTTGAAGCCTGAAGCCTGCCAAATGGCACACCAGCTGCACACTTTGCTCAGTACAATTTACAGGCTGCATGACAATCTCAAGGTAAAAAGAGAAACCAAATAATAGCTGAGCTGACACTGAAGATGTGATCTTTTCTGAAATAATAGGCTTACCTTCAAGCATATGTGAGACAACACGGCCTGTCCTTGAGTCCCCTCTGTATAAGGGATACTTAAGGGAGAGGTGCATTGTTTAAATCTTTCACTCATCCAATAGTAGCACTAGCAATTGAATTGGAACAAAGATATTAACCTTTGATCTCAGGTTATTTGTCTCAATGCAGCTCATTATTACAATAAAAAATTATGGTAATAAACAACAAAGAAAAATGCTGTATGAGTGAAAGTCATTGTCTTTCAATAGATATTGCGAGAATGTACACGCTTCTGCCAGGATGGGGAATAATTAAGGTTGAAAAACAAAGTAATAAAAATAAAAAGGGGACAGGGTAAATTTCCTGGTCATTGAATCTTAGGAATTCTGTTCCTGTTCTGTTCTGTTAGAGTGTTTAACAGCTGTAGTTTAACAAAAGAATCAGTGATTAAACACGTGCAGTAATATGCAGAGAAAAGACACAAAACTGTTTTGGACCTGATCTTGCAAACATTATGACGCAAGAAGTCTCTGTTAGAATAACAGGAGTGAATCCTTTCTATGTTACTCTTAATAGAAAGCACACTTGACTGCACTTTTAACTATGGTAGCTTTAAATCATTGCATGGCATTTTCCTTGTAGTGGCAAACACCCCTCCATGTTTAGAGGGTATAAGAAAGGCTCTCGTGTACTTATTGTTCTATTCTGAAAATAAAGAACTGTAAGCTGCGCAAGAGGATATTATGTAAAATAATTTAAAATGTCATATGTCCTGACTTTTCCTATTATGTTTTCAGGTGGCTATGTTGCTAACAGTCTAGCAATTATGACAGATGCACTTCACATGCTAATTGACCTTAGTGGTATTATTTTGACTCTGCTCGCTCTCTGGCTATCTGCAAAATCTCCAACAAAGAGGTTCACTTTTGGATTTCATCGCTTAGGTATGTAGCTATCAGATTTTGCTGTTAAAGAGTATTTTAAGCAACAACTGTAAAGACCACCTAATTCTAGAAGAACAGGTAGCTAGAAAGAAAGCAACAAACCTAAGAGTTGCTTTAGCTGACTCTCAGTGTCCATTCACTGGCTATTGGGGATACACTGTTGTATTGCCACAAGTGAATAGATTAAAAAACCCAAAAAACTAAACTTGGCCAAAAGTTTGACAGCAGAATTTCATTCACTGGGAGAAAGGCAAGTCCCACCATTTCTGTGGAAGGGGCACATAGCAGATTCAGAGTTAAATTCTGAATACTTCTTCCATTTGAAGAGGAAGGCTGGGGAATTGAATTCATGGTGACATTGCTGGTGCAGGAGCTGTGCATGTCAGCCCGTGGTTGTTCACAACAGATTATTGCCAGTGCCCAGGATTTAAAAAATCTTGTTGACTTCAGCACAATTGGGATACTGGAAAAAAGGTCCTATTCAATGTGAAAAATTACATTTTAATCCACAACTAAGAAGTTATGTAGAACATATTATTAGAGAGCTCTGCCCTGCCAGAACTTGTATAAATCAGTATTCCTCTTGCATTTCCCAAACCACAGAAAGCTGAGGTCAAAATGCCCTATGGTTTGCAAAATACAGCAAATTACTTAACATCTGTCCAGTTAAGGTGTCTCTAAAAAGAAGTGTAAACAGAATTATGGACTAACCCTTGGAAGAATAATTTCAGGATTTATAACTTTATGTTTGGAAATGTAATGATGAGAAATGTGGTTGCTAACTGGATATAATATACAGCTGCAGGTCCGTAGACATTTTTGCAAAATCTTCAAAGTATCTTTTTCATTAAATAGGTAATTTCTAGTGTCCCAGTTTTCTACCTGTTTTCTATTACACTCTATAGCATACATTTTTCAAGGAATTTCATTCTTGTGTAGTCACTATTTGCAATTCTTATTTTGGCTGCTAGAACAGCAGTAGAATTCAACAACTCCATCATTCCTTGTCATTTGTCATCAGTTAGTCACTAGTGCATGAATGCATAACTCTGTACACTAGCTAAGCTCTTTGGGGCTCTAGCAAGAAAGCATTAGCAATGCCAGCATTTCCCATTACAAACTTTTCTTTCATGAAGTTTTAATTTTGTGATAGGAGCTCCTCTGATACTGAAACCTGACCTTGCAGGTATGCCCCTGGCACTTGCTCATACTCTGCAGAAGGATGTTTGTTAGCATTTATACATACTTTAACCCTATTTCAAAATAATTTGGGTAGTTTATATGTCTTTGTAACTTTTCTAAAATCAAATAGCACATACCTTGAATGTGCTAGCTTAAAACAGGGCTATTAAAAATAAAAGGACCTTATTTAACCATTAAAATATTACTCAGTTCTGTAAATTTTCACTGGCTTTTCAATTAATGCGAAAGAAGAAATCCCTGAAGATTACTGCCACCTCATTTTCTGTATATTTTTTTCTTTCCAGTTTACTGCCAAGAAAAATACTAGTCAAATGCTAGCCAGTCTGATCCAGTGGTGGTCCATGGGCCAGATGTGGCCCATAAAATTAGTCTGTACTGCCCTTCTCTCTAGGAGCAGCTATAGGGAGCAGCCTCTAAGTTCTGCAACAATTGTTCCTCCTTTTCTGCTCCCAGTGCCAGCAGGTGGTCAAAGACTAGAACAGGTTCTAGTGGAGTGTCTTCAGTTGGAAATACATGAAGCCCACCTGGGAGCGGCCCTGAGCAACTCACTGTAGCTGACCCTCCTTTGAGCAGGACTACACAATTTCCAGGGGCTCCTTTTTACTTCAACCACCCTGCATGAGTAGCAGCAGTGCAGCTCTCTGGATGAGGAGAGCCTGGGGCTGGGGAGAAGAGTTTCTGTGCTGCAGGAAGGAAGTGAGTCAAGGCTTTGCCAGGAGCCCCCAAAGTACAGAAGATGGGATGGCTCAAAATTACTATACACAGTCTTTTAAAAATCACATTTGTGAAATTTATTTGCCTGATTTTAGGCACCCAGTCTAAATGCTGTGGCCTGAGGGCCCAGTTTCACACATCAGTGAGTGCTGGCAATGGAACAAAGCATTTCTAGTTTCTTGTAACACATTTTTCCAAGTAACCTATATGTAAGAAGCTTGTCAGCAAATAATATCAGTTCAACAATAGCTTAAACTTCACAAGACAGATGTTAAAATATGTCAGGATGTTAGAAGTAGGGTACAGATTGGGCATCTATCACAGCAGATGTGAATTATTTGTTTTAAGCTGGGAATATGTGCGCGAATTGTCTCATCACTGACCTGCTCTGCATTTAGTTTTAAGATAATCCATACATTCAGTAGGCATGAAAACATTCTAATGAACAATGTTTCTGGTACTTGTTATCATTTTTGTTTGCAGAATGATGAATTTTCAATTATTCCCATAAACATTGTTTTGTAAAAGCAACAGACCTGTTAGTTGTCTAGTTAAATTCCAGAAGGAAGTTAGCACTAATTTTCATTTATTTGAATTCTCTTTGAATACATAATATATAAGTTCCAAGTTCAGTTTTATTCCATTATGAGTTGTGAAAAGGAAGCTGACAGATTCAGGAATGGGTTAGAAAAGTGAAGACAAAATAATAGAAACTGCAGTCATGTTAAAAAAGAATTAAATTCTTGAAACGGAAAATAGTTCATTTTCCCCACCAAGTGCAGCTACCTCCTTTTCAGCAAGACACTGAGCAGATTTAAGCATAGATATGGAACCTGGCACTCGTCCATTGCTGCAGAGACAATGTTAGTAATGACAGGATCAGCCAGTCCACTGAGACGGTGCACAGTTCATTTCACAAGAAGTGAAAGATCTCAGCACAAATCTACAATGCTGACATGACAGTGACTCTGGAAGAAGCTGCAAGAAAAACACTGGTTTCCATTGCAGAAAACGTGGGTTTAGATTGTAAAAGCATACTATATTATTTCTCTGGTAAATGCTAATGTGCTATGGCTTCACAAGTTTTTAAAAAAGCATTCTGGAAAACCTTCTAAGCAATGTATTGTGTATTTTTAGGACTGTTGCCCTCAATAATCTGCCAGCTTCGTAAAGATAATTTCCATTTCTGTTGATATTTCCAGGATTTTCAAGTTGCTCTGAAATCATCTCAGATTATGACAGTTGACTTTCAGAGCCTTGTTACTGCCTGGTAATGCTGTTCCTCATCCAGGCATTGACACACTACCCAGCAGCTGAATGTGTTAGTGTGAATTTCTTCTCCCATAATAATGTTAATAATTCAGTGGATGGATCAACTGATTTTGGTGACATTAAAATGCTGATATAGCTGCATGGGTTTTTTCTGTAATACTCAATAAATAAAATTAAAACACTTCTGTGTTAGAGAAGGCATCTGCAGTAACCCAAGTTGTACCTGCAGGCTGACAGATTGAAGGGAGGCAATTCTCAGATGAGTATTAGAGCTATGGTATAGCCAAGGGCAGAATTTTGCCCTTACTGGGGAATAAATCAGGGCAACATGTGGAACTAGGGGGAAGAACAACCATTATGATTCCAAGTAAATTAATTCCACCTCTGGTCTTTGAGTTCACAGAGGAAGGCTGAGATCCCAGTGATCCATCTGGCAAGTGACAGTAATGAGCATTATGCATAATGATTACAGATTACTCAGGCATGGCTGCAGATTTATATGCAATACAATGGAGCAAGCATTAAGGTTTTCCCAGGGCTTTTTGTAAAGCCCTGTATTAACTTGATTATAACTGAGACAGTCTTTAACTGGGCTAATGTTTTCTCTGCCAGCTGTGTTGCCTTTTTTTTTTTTTTTTTTTTTTTTTTTTTTTTTTTTTAAGTTTCAGCTGCTGCAGGCAATAGTTTTCAGAATATGAAGCTAGAGGAAAAAAAAGTACATTTATGATAAAAGCCATCTAGTGTCCCATTTGTGTGGCAGCAGCTCTCTGGCCACAGAGAGCAGACACAGACTTTCCCAGGCATTTTCTAGGGAAGGCTGTGAGAAGATCAGAGAAAGAATGAGAAACAGTTCTTATCTCCATTTGTTGCACCTGCTGTTGTACACATGTGGAATGTGTAATGGAGATTTGTTTACCAAAGGGCGATTTCTTAATTGGACACTAGATAGTATTTAGATTGATTGACCAATTAGGTCAAAGCTGTATCAGACTAGCTACAAGAGTTACTAAGTTTCTTACAAAGTATAGTATAATATAGTATAAGATGATATAATAAAGCAATTGATCAACCTTTTACAATCACAAAGTCAATCCTGATTATTACCTGGCTGGGGGCCTGCACCAACACATTTGGAAATACCTATTTTCTTTATAGTAGGACATTAAAACTGTCGTGTGGACTCATCCTTCTCAAGCCTGTGTGCTATTACCAGCACAATTTCATGACTTGGGTACTGAGGCAGCACAAAAGTCCTGACCTATAAAACACTCAGCCCTGTTTACCTCCCATCTGAACAGCAGGAACCTCATAGAGAACTGTAACCACTTTCCACAGAAGTATATGGCAACAGAAAGTATAGGACAATGAAGTACTAGTTTTTATTAGTTTTCTAATTTTTATATTTATTTAATATGTTTCCTTTTGAAAGTCCCTGCTGATCAGATACAATTTCTATGCCAAAATAATGGTCATAATGTTCTTACTTTTGTGAAATAATATTTGGTAAATATTAGATAATGTTAGAACAGCATTACACAGCACTACAGAATACACAGGAATACAGAAACTTACATTAATCAAGCCTTTGTAGCTGAAATCTGCCTCAAATAACATTTATGAACACATATGTCAAGAAGCTTAAGAGTATAATGTGTGACAAGTTTGTACTGTTTGATTTCTTTACCTTTTTGTGATTTTTTTTCTCCATCCTAAATACAAAAGGATCTATAAAAATAATTTCTAAACCCAGCTTAATATTCTGAACAATTAAAATCAAGGTTTCCCTTATTTGTGGGTAGTCTGATAATGTTTGAGATCACCTGTCCTCCTCATCCCTGGACAGGGCCTTTGCCTGTGACTTTTCAGGCAAATGTTCTGGTTATCTGAAGAAGTCAGGATCATCAACTGTGCAGAAGTTTTCAGAGAAAACATAATTTGAGTTATATACGGATGATAGGGACATGAAGGAGTTTATTAGAACAAACTCCCTTGGTTAATCCTATTTTACAAGTTTTATTTGCCACATAACTTGTTAGTTTATATTAGGTATGATATGGATAAAGCAGTTAAAACAAGGCCCTGTCCACATTCTAATTTGGAAATAGAAGTGGATCTGACATGCATTTTTATAATGTTTTTTCCTTTCTGTTTGCAGAAGTACTATCAGCCATCATTAGTGTACTGCTGGTCTATATCCTTATGGCATTCCTCCTGTATGAAGCTGTTCAGAGAACTATCCATATGGACTACGAAATAAATGGTGATATCATGCTCATCACAGCAGCTGTTGGTGTTGCAGTTAACTTAATGTAAGATACCTCACTCCACTGACACTCAGAAATGTATTTCTTAATAAGCTGCTAATTCATTTACGGCCTGTAACTTTGTCATTTTGCTGGACCTCTTAATTTTCCCAAATAAGACAAGAAGTTAAATTGAGTATTATTTTTCAATTATTTGGTTTAAAACGAAAAAACCCTAACAAATTTTCCCTACCCAACAAACCCTAAAGCCTGTTTCTTGAAGCATTTTCTCTTCTTTCACTTTCAGAATGGGGTTTTTGCTGAATCAATCTGGCCACCTTCACTCCCACTCCCATGCCCACCCTCAGTCTCACGTACCTCAGCCGAGCTCTCCAAATGCAGCCCAGGGCAGCAGCCACGGGCACAGCAGCCACGGGCACAGCAGCCACGGGCACAGCAGCCACGGGCACAGCAGCCACGGGCACAGCAGCCTGGCTGTGAGAGCAGCGTTTGTCCACGCCCTGGGGGACCTGGTACAGAGCATCGGGGTGCTCGTAGCTGCCTACATCATCCGCTTCAAGGTAAGGAAGGGCCTCTCCTGGAGGCACGAGGAATTCTTGGCATTTCAATTCTGGTGATGAAAGTCAAAAGGGGCATGTTTTTATAAGTTATTAAAAATATTTTCTTAATGATATTTTATGATAGGCTTCATATATCATGCAAAATAAGCAAAACTGTTTCTACTACATATATTGTAACTATTCAAACAAAAAAAAAATTAGTAAAACTTGGAACTAGAAGTAAACGTGTTTTCTGCATCACATTTTTGTAAGTGACCTTGTTTTCATACATCCTTTGACATTGTGAAATTTCCCTTCTGCAGCCAGAATACAAGATTGCTGATCCTATATGTACATATGTATTTTCCATACTGGTGGTTTTTACAACAGTTCGAATTCTGTGTGACACGGGAGTTATTATTCTGGAAGGTAAGATCTATGCCCAATCTGCAGAACTTTACATGGAAAATACCAGTTTACTTGACATTATGATCCCCAGGTCTACGTGGATTGCACCTAGAGACCTGTCTGTCTTGGTGCTGCTTTAGTCTGCTGGTTCTTTATGGCTCCTCTAAATTGCAGCAGTTTTTACATCTCTTTGTGGCCAGAACAACACAAGTCCTGTATCTGCACCCTCTTTACCATCAGGAGATGTAGATGTGAAATGTACAGAACTTTTTTGTGTGTCTGCAGTGACTCAGCTGAATCAAGTGAACATTTGCCCAGACTCAGTTCTACACTCTCACTTTTATTACTTGTACAGTTAAAGTGAATGTGAGTGTACAGTTAAAGTGAATGCAGGTAAAAGGAGGCACCAAACACAGGCAAATGGCTTCCCCTTTCCCACAAGTGCCTTGTGTGTATCCACTGTTCCCATAAGGGAAGCTGCAAGTTAAGAGTGGTGTAAAATGCAGAAAAAAAAAGGGAAGAAAAAGCTGAACGTGGGCTAAAGGATCTTGTGTGACATAGATTGAAATATGTCAGCAACATCCTTTGCTTTATCACAGCTCACATGCCAACTATTACTGCTTGATCTAGTACTATTACTTTATTAAGTGAAGATGTTAGGGATGGGGGAAAAATGCTAGGTTTTAACTGCACATTTCTAACTGTCTCATTTGAATTACCATTGACTTTACTTTTATTATGTTATGAAGTTAAATCGGAAACCTCAGAATCTTCAGTCAAGTACTTTTGCTATCACTCAAGATTAAAAAAAAAATCCAACACTGAAAAGGCAAAAATTATGAAATTTGCAGACTCCTCAATTAGTTCCAACCCAATAGATTTAGCTGAAGAAAACAGATTAGACAAACTAATCAGACTGCAGATATTTTGTGTTGTAGCTGTTTGCATAGGTATCCCAGTTGTCATAAAAATCTCCATATTCATGATGTCATTAAAAGTGATGATATGTGGGCTTTATGCATACTAGGGTACTTTTCCAACTCAGATGCAGTTTCTCCAGAGAATGGCCTTGTGGTTATACTGGAAACTGCTTCTACAACATCAAGGCCCTTGAAGTTGTATCAACTTTTGGTATTAACTTCAGTTGCTTCATTACACTATGAATGCTAAATTAAAAAATTAAATAGCTATCCAACACAAGCAATGAGATTCTAGCTTTTAATATAGATTTATAAGGCAGAATGGAAGCCCATCACAAGTATGATGTAGATACGAGATTTTAAGTCCATTTTTCCTAGGAAAAAGAAAGCTGTACAAATACCAGACAGCTAGTTATTTATCAGCTAAATAATTTTTGATTGTCTCCACTAGATGGAGAATTTTGTTTCATGTGAGAAAGTCCTAGATGCTGAACTTTTAAAAGAGATAGTAGTGAAAATAACATAATTTAAGAGACAGTAAGGTACCAGGTTCAGAGAAGTCATGCAAAAAGTCTGAAGAAATTTGAGAAGCAAGTGGCTGAACTCCTCATAGTATACATAAAGAAACTCCACAAAACTAGAAGATAAGCAAGAAAAGCTACTGTAGCATCAAAACTACTCAGAAAGTGTTTATTCAGTACTTGCATTAGTTTTTGACCCAAGTTGATAATTTAAAATTTTGATTTTGCCCTTTGTACAGAAAAAGGATAGTGGTGGTAAGTTAGAGGTGTGCTGCTGAAAATGCCAAAAGGACTTGATCTCTGATTTGCAGAGATGACACTCTGTAAAACACAGTCCTCTGTGTTGACCACTGCACGTGGATTACTGTAGCCTGTGAACATGATCCCAGGTACCTGAAAAGCAGTTTCAGGAGACAGGCCCTAGTGGTTTTTTTGACAGATTTTGACCCTAGAGTCTGCCCTAAGCAGTTACTAAGGGTTAGAAGCTGCAGTGAAGTTGTCAACAAAAGTACATCATTGCAAAGGATCTAATGCTGGCTGTTGTCAGAGTGTGGATTCTGGACAGGACAGATTCCAGCTGAGAAAAGCTCTGCAGTTCCTGTACAACTTCTGTATGCATACCTTAACAGGCCCATTTCCATATTGTTCTGTTGGTAACATGGAAGTTACTAATCACTTCCAACAGCACAAATTCTAATTTCTTTGACATTGAGATCTGTCGTGACATTTTAAATGCTACTAAGACTTTGTAGAAGACAGAATTAATTTTATCTCATGTTTGGTATCACAGGAGTTCCGAGGCACTTAAATGTGGATCGCATCAAGGAAGACTTGATGAAAATTGAGGATGTTTATTGTATAGAAGATTTAAATATTTGGTCTCTCACTGCAGGAAAAACAATTGCCATTGTCCACTTGCAACTAGGTAAGCTGCTGGATATCATAATTCTGAATTAAATCCAAGTTTGGGAAAAACCTCACCACTTCCTCTTTATATTGTTATTTAAATTGAACCAAGAAATATCATTCTGGGGAAGGAAAGTCTACTAATTCAGGTTTTGTACAGCAAGGGATAGAACACCTTGGCCAAGAAAGACATGTGTAAATGAAAACTGTGCAAATAAAATATATTCATACCAAAATGTCCAATGCGGATTCTTTGGGTAGGGAAAAAAAACCAACACAAAATTTCTCCTCAGAAATTTTCTTACATGTTTAGGGAAAGAAAGGGTAATGTTCTAATGTGGAATGATCTACATATGAAAAATAAATGTTTTGCCAAAACATGTGCTGATTCAGACATCTAACTATACTATGAATATCAGTTCTTAGTAAGAAAGCTCAGGTTTTTGGGAGGAAAGTGTCAGACACATACAGAGTTCTATCAAGAAAGGTGTAAAATGATAGAGAGTAGACAGTGACCACAAGAACAATATTAAATTAATAAAGAGTGTGAACAAAAATTATTCTCATTGGTGACACTGTGATAAGTTTGAGAACATTTGCATTGCTCAAGTTTCTTAAGGAGTGAATTTATTATTTTCTTAATTTTGCAGTTCCTGGTAGTTCATCTAAATGGGAGGATGTTCAGTCCAAGGCCCGGCAACTGCTGCTGAACACGTTTGGAATGTACAAGTGCTCTGTCCAGCTTCAGAGTTACAAACAGGAAATGAGCAAAACCTGTGCGAGTTGTCAGAGCTCCAGTGCCTAATTTCATATGTTTTGGGAACTACTGCCTTATTCTTTACCTTGTGGAGTCAAAGACTGAGAGCAATAAATGCAAAACGAAAATTATCCAATAGTAACCATTAATATGTGGATTTGTACCATGGAACATGCAGCAGGGAGAAGTGGTGCTGCAAAAAGTGCAGTGGTTGCCCTAGAGAACATGTATTTCTCTCTCTCCGTTGTACTGGTTTATTCAATTTATTATGATTTTGAGACAAAGCTGGTTTTGGATTATTGTTTACAAACTGGAATGTGGCTCTGCAGATACCTCACAAATTACAGTCCAATATTGTCCTTTAAACATTACGTACCACAAAGTACCTGCACTTCAAACAGAGCATCAGGTATTCAGTATTTCAGTCAAAAGTCAAAGCTCATCATACCAGGGTTGCACAATATATCATGATCCCCAAATTCATTATTCAGTATTTTTTAAATAGTAATTTTCAGACAGTATCTCAAACTATTAACACATATATTAAGTTGGATTCTTGTGGAAACTCTTTGGAAACACTGCAAAATACAGAATTTACTGTACCCAGACAAGAAAGTTAGCTTTAATCTGGGCATTCAGAGATCATCCAGACAGGAAGATCCTTGCCCAGACTTCTGGTATTTACCTAGAGACCCAACACTGGACCCAAAGTGTTTTAAGTGATCAGTTATCTTTAATGTGTTTTAGAATAGGATTTATGCATTAGAAACAGGTTATTTATTTTACAAAGTTTTGACTTGTAAGATGAATTTATTATTAATAATCTTGAATGTCTAAACCATAATTTGATTCACATTAAAAGGCCAGTTGATTAGCATGCATTTTAATAGTAATTAATAAATGTCCTATAATTGATAATTTTTTCAATGATTGTTTTGTTTTAAAAGAAGAGTAAAATGATAGAAGTGATATTTGACTTGGGAATATCCTCAAACGCAATCTACAGATATGTGCATCTAACAGGAAAGTGGGGAGCAGAAGTTTTAGACATGCACAATTCCATCCATCACAATCTCTGACCTTTTCATCTTTGCTTTAAGCAAGCATGGCAGCGTCCTGACAGGAATGCCACTGTGACAGCAGTTCCCACTGCTTAACTGATGGATAAAGCAAAAGCCAAGCAAGCTCCATAACCTAAAGGTGTTGGACAACAACATCATAACAACCTACAGTGGCAGAAAGGCCCTTTTGTATTTACAGAGAGGAGGCAACCTGAAAACACTGTGTATTCATCTGGACAGCTCAGAGTCCACAAAGTGGAATTGTTTGGCCTCATTGTGGAACCCTGTATTTTGAACGTACACAAGATAATAAATCTTCACCCTCAGCTATCATACACCTACAAGCCCAGATTTAACCTGCTTCTGACGTCACTGGCATTCAAGAAGCTAAGGGCAGCAAGAACATGACCTACAAAGTTCAGAAGATGGCAAGAACTTGGCTTCAAATATTTTTTGTTTATTCTGTACTTTCACCTTATGCAGAACTTTCACTGACATGAAAAGTAGTTCTCTGTGAGGATCAGAAAGGAAAACTTTAGCCCAGTTACAGTTATTGTGATATTCAGCTGTGAATACTTCAGCAATTTTCTGTTTTGAAACTCGCTAGGGTTTCACGTTTTCATACGGCTGATTTGTATTTGCATTTGGTGGTAACAATTTTGGCTTCTTTTCTTCCCTTTTTGGAGGTAGGGATCACATGATGAATTTTTATTGATGAAAGCTGACAGCACATTGTGAACCTGGACAAAGTGGATTGTGGTTGTGTCTGTTTGGGCAAGAAGTGAGAACACTGGTGTGCAGCTCAAATGCAGCACTGTGCTTGGGAAGGTAATGCTGCAATACAAACACTATCATTAATTAAGCCATATCACAGTTCATGAAAAATGTGCATCCCATCCTTACTTACTGGCAAAAACCACAAACAACAGGTATTTTGCACATACTAATGCTCAAATGGGTTTTAATTAAATTGGGGTTTACAGTTGATGTAATTAGATGTTGAAGTACAGTAGACGTGTTGTATTTGCAGTTTTTTAATAATTTACTACATTTGTTTAATTGAAGAAAAAAGGTGTGTTGTTTTATTGTGGGTTTTATTAAATTGATTATTAAAGTTCACGTTGTCTTATAAAATATTTATTTGTGTTTCTTTCTCTCATCATCTTCAAATTCTTACACCAGTCTGATTCTTAGGGCAGCTGTGTTTTGAAATGTCTGAACACTCAGCTTTAATTCAGTTTCCAGATGTTATACATAGCATCTGGAAACTGGAATATATGTAAGTCTCTGTCTTTAGTCAACAATTTAAGACTTGTCATTTCACTTCAGAAAGTGTAAGCTGACAAAGTATGGTGAAGGATCATCATAAAGCAACTGGCAAAACATTCCTGAAACCCTACATTCACCCTTCAGGGGCCCTTGTTACCAGGGTCTGTAGACTGGAAGTTCAGAGAAAAGGCAACAGAAGATGAAATGAGAGTAAAGAATAAAATAATCAGTAAGTTTTTATAGATACTCCAAGATTGTTTTCAGTATCAGCTTAGAGAAAAGGGGCATTATTATAAATAAGGTCTCATGTTTTTCCAAGCCAGATAGTTTACACACTTACACTATTCTTTTCCTTCTAACAAATCCTCTGCCTGAAATGAAAATGCATACGCTTGACAGAACTTCATTCAAAACAAAAAACTTCCAAGATTCAAGCAGGTTTCCACAACCAGTGTCCCTGGCTTCCAGAGCTGTGCTGGAATGCTCTTCCTGACTGAACAGATGAAATCCTGAGAAAATTCTGCCACTCCTGAAAGTCCACACTGAGAGAAGGTTTTTCCTTTCTAAATCTGCGATTGTCACTCATCCTTTTCTGAAGCACAGATACAGTTTTGATGACAACCTACTCATATGAGTCAATAAAACATTTTCATATGAGTAGACTGCAAACGCTCACATCCTACTCTTCCCTTCTGAAGTGTTCTTATCCTAAAAAGAAAATTATCAGAAACATATTTTGTTTCTGAATGTTTTCCTTGCTTAATTACATGGTTTGGTTTTTGTTTTTAATTGTGTTGACATTTTGTCTTTTCAATACCAGCAGCATTTCTTTCTTCACCAGCAGAATTACCATTTAAAACGTCATACTTGAATCTGGTCTTCAATTATCTCACTACTGTACATATCTGCTATTTCTTGCAGAATCACTCCCAAGTGGCAGAGTGACTCAGAAAAGCAGAAGGCTGGCATTTAAAAGTAATTTTCTGACATAGAAGCAAAAACCCCAAAAGACACTCATCAAGTAATGAGTGGCAAGGATTCTGTTCAGGTATTTTGGTGGGATCTCATGAGGACACTGCACTGATGCTGAGGGCAGGGCTGTTAAAGCATTATTTCTCTCTACAAATAACTGTAAGTATAATATACAAAGATGGGTAGTTGGGTAAAAGATATGGTACACACTGCAGCAGCTTCCTAGTCCAATAAATTGATCCATTCCCAGAGCAGAAGTTCCCTTGGAATCTCAAGGGAAGGGAAAAATATCCAGCTTATTTCCCTCTATCCAAAAGAACATTGCCAAGGTCTTTTTTTCTTGCTGGCTGCTCCAAACACGTTCAGTTTTTTTCAGGAGTGAGCACACATAGCTCAAATGTCATGTTTCACCAGCTCTTTGGATTATGCCACTGCTCTCAGCTTCCCTCTCTGTTTTCTGGCCGTATTCTGTCCTCTCCACAGTTTCATGAATAATGTCCAGCTCACACTCTTGGGCACCTGTTGCTTACAGGGTCACCAGGAGCTTCTCTCACTGCACCAGATGTGGAACACACTTCAAGAACAGTGCTGTTCAAATACTGGCCTGCCTTTGCCCAAAGGTCATTTCCTCTTTGATCAATTACAAAAAAAACCCCAAAAACAAAACCTTCTAACCATGTTGCTAATTCAGAGGAAAGACCTAATCTGAAAGTTTCTAGATTCCCCTTTCTACCATAAAAAAAAATATAAACATCCTCCACATTCCCCACCCTTTAATTACCTTTCCAGTTTCACCTTCTTCTCCCCTCTATACCAAATCGTGCTGGGCACTGACAGTATCTGTGCTCTGGAGCTGGAAAATCTTCTACTGGTCTACTCTTCTTATTCCATTTTCCACAGCTGAATGCTCTAGGAAGGACCCTACATGCTCTTTCATTCTCTGAAATACTTGACACAACTATGGAAGCTACTAGAATAAATATGGATCCTTTTCATTTTAATGTTTTGCAGCCACCACAGCAATCTGCTCTTAAAACACACGTGTAGCTGTCTTCTGTGTGTAAAGCTGTAAAATGATGATATCCTTATTATATTTGCTCTTTTGAGTATTTTTGCTCTTTTACCTCTATTTTCTCAGTATTGTCTCAGTATTGTCTTTTCTCAGTATTGCACAGTTTGAAAGCAATTGGTGCTAAATATGCAGGATAAAACAACTACATTTATTACAGCTATGAAGCATTTACATATTTTATGGCATCAATTTATGTAGGGAAAAAAAAGTGCAATTTCATAGGAAAAAAGTATAATTTTATCCTTAAGATGGCTGTTTAATGATTGCCTTATTATTATACATGGTAAAAAGATAAGTTGTTTCTCCAGGACCATTATCAGCCAGTACATGAGGGTACATAAATCATCAGTGCTCTCTGTATAGTGTGTTTTGCATTGTTTTACATAGTAAACTAAGTACTGATACACACAGGGATTTTTAGTTCAGCTGATGAATAAACAAAAGGACCCAGATGGCAAGCAAACTAAAAATTTGCTTTTATCTCAGGTGCATTAAGAGCACCCAAGTCCCTGCAATCTTTCTATTTCTTTTCCCAAAGTACACACGAAGAAATTAATTAATAAATCCCTAAATAAACTGATGAAACGTGAACTTATAAAAGCAGTTACCTAAGTCTAGTAGCTGACCTTTTAAGTGTAAAACAGAATTTTTGAGAAAAACACTTTTCATAGTTAAGACGGTGCTCTATAGTTCAACGTAGCATACAATTATTCTGCATTGTTTTTACAGGTTTCTCGCGTTCCTGTTTCCCCTGTGAGAGCAAGTCTGACACACCTGTATGGACAGACGCATACAATTATTCTGCATTTTTTTTACAGGTTTCTCGTGTTCCTGTTTCCCCTGTGAGAACAAGTCTGACACACCTGTATGGACAGACTCTCCTCACCTGGAGCCTTGCAGGCGGTTCGCAGCTGCTCCAGGCGATGGCGCAGCGCTCTCAGCCTTCGCAGGAGTTGTGTGCTGCAGAGGGAACATACGCTATTACACACTCGAGAAATGTCTTACTAGGAAGTAAAGAAACAGCAACACAACTCCAAAACACCCCCCCACACCCCCAAGTAAACCCCCACCAAATCCTCTTATTTTTTCCTAAAAAAAAACAACCCACAGGGGATTTAACTTTTTCATGGATGCAATAAGGAAAAGCACAAACCTAGCACAGACTGCCCAGTCAATTACTGGGAAGGAGTTTGGACACTTCTTGAAGGCTTATATTGGTAAATACCATGGAATGCATGCTCCAGTGCTTTCCTCCAGTTACAAACATCTAAGAAAAAAAAATAATATTAGTAGAAATTAGTTGAGGCTACAGATATCTGAAATGTAATTAGATTACATTCATTAATGTAAACATAGTAAATTATCATACAAGCCCTTTTTTTTCCTATGAAAATAAGTATTCCTTTTTTGGGATGCTGAATTGATGTTTCCAGGACAACAGAGGCTTCCATCTGAAACATGCCTGACTGTGATTTTTTTCCAAAGAATCAGAGGACACTTTCAATCAAAAATATAAACTGAGGGAAACAATTTTGTTTCAAACTAGGCAGGTAAAACTATAAATGACAAATATCGTTGTGGTTACATTCTACAATTGCTAGTACAGTGGTAGTTTTGGATGTAGTGGAACAGACTTCAGAGAGAGAAAATACAGCTGAGGGAGGCTGATGAACTCAGACCACAACATCCTTCCAGTAAAGTCTTCTTTCATTTCTTCAAGCTATTAAGCAATTCTGTATTTTCTAAACTATTGCAGAGGAGACACACCTTAAACTGGAAACAGAAATTGCCCAACCAGTTACACACTGGTTTCTTTCTATTTGCTTGAAACAAAGGGAATAATAGGTGGAATAAATGAGGATGGTTTTCACACAACCTAGCTTCCTCAACTTGCCACAGAGCAAAGTTCAAGTCATATAATAGAAAATTCAAAGGATGGTAACTCTCTGCTTATCAAATGTTAAAGGTTCATGGGCAGTTAGCTATAAATGAAGATATGTTTTAGATACACTCACTTGTGAACAGCTATGCAGGATATATCGTTACATTAACTCTATTAACTGTCTTTGTAAAGCATCAATGAAAGCAGAATATTTTTCTTCCACAGACTTACTACATCTGAAATTGCTCCAAGGAAAGGATCAAGAGAAGAGCTAGTTCCTATTTTTAGCTGTCACAGCTAGAAGGAGGCTGCTCACAGAGTTGGAGTAATAACAAAATTAAACCTTACTAATCAGCCCACTACCTGCTATGGCTAAGTAGGGGTATTAATACTGCAGGGTTGTTTGCTTGGCTTTTAAAAATTTCTTTTTATTTTTTAAGAGTTCATATTTTGTTTCTGATACAAGGTGTGTTTGTGTACAAAAAAAAAGGAAAGAGGGAAGAAAACATAAAGCCAGGTCATGTGGATAGTGCAGATAGCAACTGGGAAACATTAGAATCCATTACACTACCATGCAACCAAGTATGGAACATACTACTGTACCTGGAGCAAATTGTGGTGGTCAGAAATGAAATCAGTATCTATTTCCTTTACAGACTGCAGCATAAAGTGTTGTGCAGTTCAGCTAAGACATCTGATGGTTTTACAGTCACTTTTCTCTGAAACAAGGTATGTTTTACCTGTCTAGCTCACACCAAAAACTTTAATTACTGTATGAAGAATATTGGAGTGTTGCCCCCATCTCCCTTCCTTGTTGCATTGCCATACTTTCTTTTATCTGTTTTGTGAAGAAGAAAAAAGCCCAGTAGACAAAGAATTTCACTTAGCTCTTTGAAACTGATTATACTTAATTTCAACAAACGAACTGTAGCTACAGCAATACCCTGTGCTGTACTATTCCTTAAGGAATGCAGGTTATACCTGTGGCACTACCAGCCAGACAGCTGTGAAGATTTCTAAAAGCAGATAGCAAGGTCAAACACGTTGGTTCTCTATTGAGGGAATCCATCTATGACTTTGCTGTTTACTGTAGAGGGTGTACACCGATGCCCTTGACACCTACTAAGAAGTGACACGCTCAGCAGTATATCCTCAAACACAAACTTCCCTGTAACACCCTGTTTTGTGTAGTGGAAACACCTCTTCTGTGAACTAATAAAAATACAGGAACTTGAGCAGAGACATGCCCAGTTCTTAAACCTTTTTTCTTAAGAAGAGAGAGAATTTTCAAAAAACATGTACATATACACAACCACTGCAAACTTTACTGTATTAATTCCATGCCTCCCTGAAGTCAGTATAAAACATTCACCTAACTTCAAACTAATCTTTTTTCATCTACTAGTGTAAGATGGAAATTATGGCCAAGAGTTTGTCAATGAGGCAATGGCTAGAACTGCAAGTCATTGTAAATAGGATTGTGCTGCAGATTTCTGCTTTAGGGAGTAAAGTGGATACTGAAGTCTTGAAGAAGAATTAATTTTTTCTGACCGTAGGACATTTCATTCAAAGCATTTGCCAAGAGAAAAATTAAACACAGTAATGGCAGCATAATGCTAAAATATTTAATAATGCTAACAGCATGGGCAACATACTGCTAACAGTCTTCAAAAAATATTTAGGCTTTACTGAATTATAAAAGAAGTCACAGCAGAAGGGAAAGATGCATTATTAAATGAAACAGTTTTAACAGCTTAATTAAAAAACATGTTTCCTTTTCTTTTAATGTAGTGAACTGGTGATTTATTAGCAGTAGATGACTGCTTTTCTTTGGCAAACTGATAAGAGTTTTCTGTTACTACCAGGGATCAGGACTTTTTGCATCTACTTCCTTGTTTGTGCAGCAACAGCATTAGATAAGGCATGATGTTTATTAGTTACCTGCCTATTGGAAATATATTTAATTAAATTAAAGAAGTGACAACCAACAGGAAATGAAGAATGTGATAATTTTGCTAAAGTTGAAAGCTTAAATGTATTTATTTACATGCAAGAAGTTTTTCAGACTCGTGTGGCTTTCTGACCTCTCAGATAATACAGAACTTTGCAATGAAAAATTCATAGTGTCCAATACTGAAACATGAAGGGAAAGAACTCCAGCTTTTCACTAATATTATGCTGTTGACAATCTCTGTTATAATCTAGTGGGGATGTGAGTGTTCCTCATTTACAACTCACACCATGCACCAGCACTTTCTGAAGATAAAATACAGTTCTGTGCAAAAGGCTGATGCAGCCCTTGTGGTCACAGTCTACCTCTGGAGTACCAGACCAGACTGGTTTCATGCCAAATACTGTAAAATGAGTAAAATGATAGAAAATGGCTTGAAAACCAAAGAGTTCTACAGAACTGGAACTGCAAAGTGCGATGCAGGCAGCTCTGCCTTGGGACTGGCATGATTTAATGTTTTAGGATTTTGACAGGATTGCTACAGAGCTCTGGTCCCCATAGTCTATTTTTGGTGCTGTATCCTAATGACTTATCCTCTAGAGCCTCTAGATTCTCAGTTTACCATCATTTGGTAACAGCAATGTCTATGCAGAATTCCCACGCCTTTCAGCAGGGAAATCTGATTATAAAATCAATGTCTGTAGTAAAAGTCCCAAGTTCAAGAGCTATCATCTCCTCCCCCTGGTTCAGCAACACTTGGGTGAAGTCAGCAAATCTAGCTGAGGGAGAGCTAAGGGAGTTTGAACTTACAGAAATGATGTCTTCTAATTACTCAAAAAACACACAAATGAAAAAAAGCTGTTTCACAGCTTCTGCCTGGACTGGCACTATCACAGTCTGCCAGGCCACAGGAATCACTGTGATTTATAGTGCTTAGCATTAAAAACTGCCAGACCACTTCAAGTTTGGAATTACAGAACATGAACAAATAATTTTACCATTTACTTGCAAAGAAACAACCAGATGAACAGAATTTCAGTAACAGAACAGCCTTCACTCAAAACAAAAGACATCCAGATAGAAGTGGGTAAGAGCCTCCCATAATATTATTAGCAGATATGGCCCTTATTTTTCTGCAGCAGCATAATTTAAAGAGAGCTTTCAGTGGAATGGACCCTACCAACCAAAATAATGTTAACTTGTTAACAAATTCAAAGAAAAACTGCAAATATTTTTATGTGAATCTGTTTAAAGATAATGCATGCTTATGTTTACAGTTCAAATTTGTGCTTCATTTTTTTTAATGGAAAGACAATTTAAAGTACTTTTGTTATTTATGAATATAATGACTTCTTGAAATGTTTACAGTCTATGTGTCTTAACTGTTGCTAGTAAGGCTCTGCCTTTTTTCCATCCATGATGCATTTATTACAATCCATCAGCATAAATAAAACACAGCAGAAGAGGACAGAGGGAGAAGAAAGGCAAACATTGAAAGCAAGGCCTCTTCTGCTTAATTTCTTAGTTTAACCACCAGCCTAACTATATTCTGATCTATTCATTTGACATGTAACTTCCTAGAACACAGTGCTGGTCTACCAATAAACAGTAGTAATAGAGAAATACATTAGGCCAAGAAAAAGTTAAATTTTTCTGATGTGTTTGTTTTGATTGGTGAGACAGAAAGAGATTTGGCAAGAAGCAAACATGTGCCAACAAGTAAAAAAAGAAACAATTTTCAATAGAAAATAGGGAGGAGGATGTGAGAGGCAGCAAGCAAGCAATATCAGAGTCTAGAAGTATTCTATATTGAATATTTCAAGTTGAAGTGAGTGATTTTTCTACTGCTCAACAGCCAGTAAAACTGGAAGCACATCTATTTGAATTTAAACAGATGCTCACAAGTACTTTTTAAATCTTATGGAGAGGTGATCACAAAAGTGACTTGCTTTATCTTAAAAACATTGCATGATGAAGTTATTTACACAGACCCTTTAGGGAATGTTATACACATTCAAATCTTGGCCATGAGCAGCAGAAATGGTATTGCCAGCCAGGACAGGAGCACAACTGCCAGCCCAGCACCCCAGCCCTGGCTGTCACTGCTGCTGCTGCGCAGCCAGGGCTGTCCATGGGGCTCCACACACAGAGCCACCAGCCCGGACCCTCCAGGGGCTTGGACACAGCTGGGCAGTGCCACAACCCCTGAACAGAGGCCACGGAGCCAGCCTGGCACACCAGGCCAAACCTTGGAAGTCTCAAAGGTGAAAACCAACACCAAACCAAACCCTTTGTCATGCCCCTGTTGCTAAGAGATGAGGGTTTATTTAAATTAATTTGGTAACTCGGCACTGAAGGCCAGCACTGGCCTATATCCTGATACCCAGACAAACTGTCTCTAGGGCTCCCAACTAGTGCTCTGCCACCCCCACTCCTACACCTTGCTCACATGGCCCTCAGTCCTCACACAGGCACCGTGGTGATGCTGCAGGACATCTCTCATTTGTTAGGGTGAAATCTGTCCCAGGCAGGCCCCAGGCTCCCCATGCTGTGAGGAGCTCTCCCATGTTCTGGGCGAGCCTTGAAAGGCAACCCCTCCCCAGTAATGGCTCTGGCTAGAACGTGTGCACAACAAAATTATCTGAAAGCAAACGCTAATTAAACAAAACCCCTTGTTCATCTGGGCAAGGTCCAGCATAAATAGGGTTGGCACAGCCTTGGTGAGGGTGTGTGATCTTTGGCCAGGGCGAGGCACACAGGCGAAGGCGCTTTGGATGCGGTGTCAGCTCATGGCTTCGCAGGGGCCATTACTGCGACGGCTGCTTCCTGATGGAGAGAGCTTTGGGCAAAAAGCTGCCTGCTCCTGGTTCACATCAGTATCTGAAGGGCAACACTCACCAACCCCAGTGCCCAGGCCAAGCCAGCAATATTGCTTTTATTTCTATTTCAGTTACACTTTTTACAGGATTTCATTGTCTGTGTGCTCCTGTATGGCATGTGGGTGTGCTGGTCAGCAAAGGCTTCATACAGCAAAGGAAAACTGTGCCATGTTTGTTTAACCTGAAAGCTCTTTCAGAAGTGTCCAACACCAAATATTGGCTGGATTCAGTGAATCATTCCCATTACTCATTTGTGTTCCACAGCTAGTATTAGGGACAGTCACCCTCTGCACTAAGGCAGACAACAACTGCAGGATGAACCATTTCCTTCAACAGTTGCATCAGCCCCCTCTGTAAGTTCCTATTTTCTGCAGAAAGCCACCACTGAAGTAACCAGACATTGCAGAACTACACTAATAGCACCTTGTGGCAGAGAAATGCAAGGGGTCAGAAGAAGAAATGCTGACACTGGGGCTATCACATGCAAAGAAAAAGAAACCTCAATCCAGCTCTCTGATAACTACACCACCACAAGTTCTGCAGTTTTAAGGCCTTGAACTACTACTGTAATAACAAAAATTAGCAATTCATTGTATAGACACTGCAAAAAGCAGCCTTCTATTCTTCTGTTCTTCCAGAAAGCTATTTACATATAGACTACATAGAAAAATTTAGAGAAGCATGACCATAGATTCTAATGATAAGATTTCTAACAGTGATTAGAACTATTAAAACACATTTCTAACAGTTTCTAACCTATACTGGAAACTCTAACAAACTAATGACTATTTTTATTAAACTTCATAATTAATATGAAATTTTGAAGTTATATAGTTCCATGTAAATGTACTAGCTAGGGTGAGAAAAGACAGTGATTGTTAAAAAAGGCCAACATCAACCAAATCAAACCCAGGAACAGAATGGAGTAGGAGGTAAAGAGAGCAAATAAAATAGAGAGAAATAAGAAAGTTGTTAAATTATTTCAATAGCCTCTAAATTGTTCATGGAATTAAAACTCATGGGTTTGCATGATCAGGGAAGCCTTACAGTTCTCATAAACATCAGCCCATAAAATTCAACCACTTTTTGTAGAACAAGGAAATAACTTGTATATTGCTATACAGATTTATGTTGAGTAGCTGACTGAGGAGATACAGTAATTGTGTGTATGCTACTTTTAAGAAAAAACCCTCTATGCAAGAAACAGATTTTTAGGGACAGTCAGAGAAGACACAAAACCCTAAGAACTTTAACAATATTTTTAATCTTTTTGAACTGCCCAATCTTTTTTCTTATTTCTTATATTGTGTGAAAACCCTCCCCAAAAATCTGTATTAAGAAAGAAAAACAGAACAGTTTACAAAGCAAAACAGTTTTATTACCAGAGCTGTTGTGCTTCAGGACATGATAAAAATCAACAACCTGTGACTGACAGCAGTCACACTGCTTAATGTGCTACTGGAAACATCATTGAAATGTGGCTAAATGCAAAAATTTACTAAAATTTACTTACACTTATTTTCCCAATGTTAACAGGTACTTAGGTCATAGTATTTGCAGCCAATAAAAGTGACTTACTGAAGAACAATTAATGCACCTATTCAGAGCATGGCACTTTGTTTTTGCTACAGTCCAGCAGAAATATGGAAATACAGAGAAAGATTTTTAAATATTTTCTGTTTTAAAATGCTCAAAACTTGTATTCCTCAGAGTTCTGTATTTCAATCTTCTTGTATTGTTATTCAATCTTCTTGTAATGTTATTTCTTAAATGCAAGCTAAGGACTTATTCTGAAGACTAGTAGCTCCTCTCACTCTAAAACATAAATGCTGCTGAGTCATCCTTACTAGATAAACAAATATTTATGCAACATTTAGATTATTTTTTTCTCAGCTGAAGAAAACATACAGCTTCTGAAGCCAATCTACTTGGAATTCAGGAGACAGCTTTTCTAAATAAAGTCTGTCTTTGTTGCAGCAGAATTACCTAAAGCACTTGACTATTACTCATTTAAGGGGACTTTCCCCAGCTAGCAGTTTTTTCACTTTTGCTTTTTTCCTCACAGAAAGGATTATGAATTCTGACCATCCATTATAAGAGAATTTGTGGAATAGATTGAGAAACTGCTTGGAGAGGGCACATACAGAAAATATCTAGAAGAAGACTGTTCTGCCATTGGATGCACTTATTGTCTCATCATTTTACTGTGAACCTGCCCATTACATTCTTTCCCTGGCCAACCCATAAGCAAACACACAGAAGCTTAAAGAGGAATTGTCTCTTCATATAATCATTCCTAATTTTAATCTGTTAGTTTATCTTTCATAAGAGATATATTCCTAATAGCATGTAGAAATCTTTAAAAATATTGTTAATTATGCAGTAAATTGCAGCTTGCACTTGAACTATGTTGCACAAAAAGAAGAAATTAACAGTGTGTAGTTTTGGATAATGCAGATTTTCTAATTCTAGTAATTTCAAAAAAATTTAATCGTGAAAAATATTTAAATACAGAAGAAATTACCTGATTTTCACTTCCCTTCTAGCCATGCTTAACTCTTTTGTTTTGAGGTTCTAAATATGCTGTCTTAAATAGCCTATTGGACTCCTCAGTGGCTAAGTTTCAGTATTTGCAGCACAACATTAGTTTTGACTTAATCTGTCCCCATATCTAACACAGACGAGGAATGCAAGTGTACTGTATGACCACATATGCTGCCGTACAAAGACATCCTCTGGCTATGACTTTGGTCTCTATATAACACTGAAATACAGAACAGAAAGGAAGGAGACCAGGAATCCCAATTTAGAAAGGTTTTTGAATTTACAGTAAATGTATAAATTTTGATTTTATTTTACTAAAAATTAGTAAAATCGCAAAACTAATGTATTTTGAAACAAATCCTGAAATTCTACAAAAACTATGAAGGCATTTTTGATCCATAATTACCATCTGAATACTCAAAAATCTACATCAAATGCTTATTGAAAATTAATATTTTGATTCAGCTTTTTGGACTATGTGGATGCTGTATGCCAGCTTCTAAAGCAACATGAAACTCCTCATCCAGAGTCTAAAAAAAATGTAGGGAGACCCTAAAAATGTAGCAGAAGCATTTCCGCACACTGATTTCAGTAGTCAAGTTTGTGCAGAAATGATTCCACTAGATTCATAGGGTACCTTTTTCAGGCAACAGAAACTTCTCACTTCGTAAGCTTTTTGACCTTTTCCAGCTCTTCTATAGGCTGCCACTGCTGATTGATTGTTACCAGCTGGAAGAAATGGAAAATATGAAAGTTAGTAAAATCCTAGTGAGCATTTACTCCACTCCCATATCAAACATCATCTTATTGATGAAGAAGTTCTAGTGGCTTTAATATGCAACAGATGACATAATAATCTGTTGAACAAAATCACTTGGATATTAATTAAGTAATCATGCCAAATAATGTTACTTTTCCTTATCCTAAGTGCGCTAATAAATTAAGATGTTTTTCCTCCAGGCTACAGTACTCAAATATTCTTACTCAATTCTGTATTCAGGAACAAGGTAAACAGCACTTCCTCTATACTCCAAGTTTCCACTATTATCAATGGAATTGAGTAAATGGATGTTTGGGGTGGGAATGGACACAGGACAACAACCAGAAGTACAGTATGAATTTAAGATCAGACCTACAGTGTAAGAGATCCCTGTCATTAAGAAATAGAATGAAGACATAAAGTAATGAATGAAGCATTTGTTTCCACATTTAACTAGATACACATCAACTTTACACTTGTTCATATTTTTCTAGTTCTTACACATTGAAAGAAGTGATCCATTGTGCTGGAAATTTATGCTATTTATACATATATTATATATACAAATTACCTTCTGAGGTTTGGCAGGATCAATAGTTTCCCATGGTTCTGAACTGCCAATCTTGTGAATGCTTTAAAAGAAGATAAAACAGGTATTATGTTTTAAGGTGTGTCCTTAAGCACATTTTCATATGAGCAGCCTATTGTCAGTAGAGCTTTTCACTTTAGTAAGGAGCTCCCTAAACCACAAGTTTACAGGTTTGGGCACTGTATGTTAAATCTGGACAGGAGACAATGATGGGTTGCTTTATTTGCAGCTCCCAAAGCAACAAGCAAGCCAGCACTGTTCACATATCCTTGTAAGGGAAGCAAGCTGAAAACTCAAAACTGAATAAAGACACAAAGTAAGAGGACTTTCCCCCCGACAGTTAAAATGCCTACTCCAATCACTTTAAAATACATAAACTCCCAAAAGCTTTAAGAGTATAAGATTTGGCTCCAATTACCAGCCAAGCCACTAGAATACTATCTTAAGTTAATACTATGAAACACTGTTCTTTTATATAAAAATCGATAGCCTAGGTGCAATCTCATCTATGTGCATCTCTTCTACCTATGTGATTGTATGAAATTCTTAATTAGAACATTTAATACTTCTTATACCTAAAGCAAAGAAAAATGTAATTATTAAATCAAAAGTTAGAAAATAACTTGGACTACACTCCAAATTAATTGATTTCCTCACTATTTACAACCTGCAGATACTTTTAGTCATTACCACTACTCCCAGTACTCTGTAATATGTGCCTGCATCCTTTCTGGTTTTGTTTTTTATGTGTTTAAGACATGATAGTCAAATACTCGGTTGAATAAAACAAATTAGGGTAAGCTCCAAGCAGTAAGTTTTTGCTTACATCACATCAGATTTGCTGAATAGGGAATAGACACAAAAAGAGAATGCCCCAACTGCTGCCAAGGACAATATTCCGGCCAGGGGAATGAGCTGAAAGATAAAATAGAGAAAAGAGGTGATCTTCTGTGCCAGCTACAGACCCACGAGTAGGGGGAGCAAGGGTTACACAGAACTAGGGAGGAATCACCTGTTCCTGTACATTACCTCCATATTACTCTTTACACCACTTCACTTTTAATATGCAAATTTCACTTTTACCTCTATATTACCCTCCTCCACACCTCACTTTTAACACGAACTTTACGAGTTCCCATTTCCTCGGGAAATCAAGTGGCAGCCCCGGTGCAGCCGCCCGAGCCCCCGCATCCCTCCTCTCGGGCGGGTAGCCACGGCGCCGACCCCTGGGGCAATCTCACCTCTTTTCGCGTTCTCAGCGTGTGCAGGATGCCCCTGTTCATGCTGGCGGCTGCTCCGGCGCTCCCGGCGGCTCCGGTGCTCCGGCTGAGGCGGCGGCGGCCGGGCCCGCCCCGCGCTCCTGGAGCCCCGCGCCCTCAGGCGGGACAGCGCCCCCCGCAGGTGCCGCGGGGAGCGGCCGGACAGAGCGGCCCGGGGTGCGCCAACGCTTCTCTCTCCGTGACTGCAGCACTCAAACCTGGCTTCTCCCCCTCCTTCGTCTTCTTGTCTGTCCCCTTCTCCAGGCAGCTGCCCAAAGAACAGGTATCAGGGCAAACGCCCAGGTGATGACACAGCCTGCCTCTTCAGAGCTCGGAGAGGTGCCTACAGTGACCAAGAGGAGCCCAGTGTCACCATGTCCCCTTGTGCTGCAGCAAAAGCTCAACCCAGGCTCACCTTCTCATCACTCTCTTGTGTTCCCACAGCTCCTATCACGTCCCAATATCCCTCTCTGAGAAAAACTACCAGGGCAGGCTGGAAGTGAGAGCAGGTGACTCCTGTACATTTGTTTCTCCCTTTCTCTCTTGCCCACTGGAAAGCAGTGAGAGGAAGGAGAGGTTACCTTTCCTGCATGTTCTGCTCGCTCCCTACAGCAAGGAACAGACACGACAGGGCACAATCAGCTCAGCTGCTCCTTCTAGAGAGCAAGCGTGGAAATTAAGCAGCAGCATCTTTGGGGCAGAGGAGCTGGCAGCATGTTACTGTAACAAGAAGTTGTGACTGTAACAACTTGGACGTCCAGCAATTCCAATGCAAACTCTCAAACACTGGGAAACAAAACAGAGTTTTCATGTTTTCTCAGCACTGCTGCTGAGAAACCTTTGTGTATTTGGGAAGATCACGAGCACTGTCTATTTGTTGCTACCAGTAAAGCTACAGGATAGTCCTTTCTATAAATTGGTGATGAAAGCCACCAAAGCTGTAGGGCAGTTGTTTGTATCTGAACTCTTTCCTAGGTTTCAACAGTGTCCACTACTGCCTTTTGCCTTCCTCAGTCACCAACTGCCTTGGAACTTCCTTTTCTGATCCATCTCACTATAAACCACACTCAGTGCAGTCCCTAGTGTGCCTGTTATGAGAGAGAAATATTTGTTAATAGGCTTATAACTTCTGAACCTTGGCTAAATAAGGAACTGTCTTTGAGAGTGGTGTATTTTGTTCCCAATCATTTTCACTGGGAAAAAGAAAAGATAACAACAACAACAAAAAAACCCTCCCTACTCTAGTAAGTTAAAATGCACACTTACATACATGTAATACCAATTTCCTTAGAAGCGTCTGTGTATTTTAGAAAGCAACCTACAAAAATGTATTGACAAGGAATGGCTGGGTGGAGAAAACAATTCTGCAGAAATTGTCATTACGCAAACTCCCTTTTCTCAAGAAGAAATTATAGTTTGAATTGATTACATACTTGATATCTGCTTACTCAATCCAAATGTTTGCACAGTGAGCAGTAACTAATCTAAAATTAATCCCAAAACCCCTGACTTCCAAACCTACACCAAGGAGTTAAGCACTGACAGCCCTTTCACTGCCACTGTATTTTGGAATCTGCTTGCAAGAAAGTAAGCCTGTATATAGGCACATATAAAACACCTTACATTTTATATAGAGTGGGACTTCCTATTTAATTTCCTGAAAGCTTTTCTACTTCTTACATTTCTGCAGTCTTTTGGAGACTTCACAACACATTCTAAATTTTCTTATGCCATTTTTGTACTTAAAAGTAGGAAATCTACAGTAACACTAAGCTGTTCCATGGTGTTTTATCTAAGCATTTCAATTACTTGTTTCATCAGACATAAACCTACCCAAAGCAAAGAGGATTTTAATTTATTATTCATTATTTAAATTACAGAATTTTTTGAACATGACACTTTACTGTATTTCACACTCCCTGAAAACTACAGTAAGTACAGTATTAAAAAACATATAAAAAGGAAAGATGCAAACCTTTTCAAAATCTTTGTAATATATTTAAAAATACTTATGCCACTCCTTTATAGATTCAAGAGGCTAATTATTGATTAGAGAATTTTTCATAAAATTCCAATTCTTTTATGTTTAAAGATGGTTTTACAGTCTGCAATGACTTCACAAAATGTTCCTGTTTTACAGCAGTTGCTTCTAGTCCATTCTCTTGCAATGCCAACAAAGCAGCCTTTAAAAAAAAAAAAAAAAAAAGAAAACTAACTTAGTCCTTATCATGTTTTAAATTGTAAAGCATATTGTAAGTATTCTAAGATATTTTACAAGGTACAGAGCATTAGTTAAAGCATCTGAAAACAGCATTGTGTAACTTACAGTTATTTAACAACTGATAAAGATCCAAGTAAGGTTATCATAACTTTTTCATTCACTATTTCTATCTGGATTAGGCAATACATCCTTTATGACTTATGCATTTGGATTTTCTTATAGTCTTCTGTCTTTTATAAAACTCAACTCAAGTTCTGGATCTCTCTTCTCTTATTCTCTCTCTTATTTTTTTCTTTCTAGACTTGACAGTACCTGCTAATTTCAGCTTGCAGTACAAAGAATGCAATTCACCTAGATGTGAGCATGGATTAGAGAGGACCACATGAAATAAAGGGTAGTACAGTTCCTTGACTTCTAGTAAATTATCACAGACAGACTTTATTCTTATTTGGTATTTTATTTAAATAATGAACCATTGTTCAGTTCTTCTGTTTTAAGCATTTTCTTTGGATTTTCACTGCAAACTGGGAAAGTACCTGTACTACAGATGGCTTAGTCACATCTATGAGTTAGCTCTCTTTTTTAATTCAAAGTTGTTATTTAGAGTTTATTTCACAGGTGAGCCAGGTTTTTCTTACCTCCTTGCACAGATTTTCAATATCAGCTCCAGAGAAGAGGTCTGTTAGGACTGCCACATCTTGTAATGACACACTGGTATCTAATGGAATTTTTTCGGTGCAGATTTTCAAAATGCAAAGTCTTCCCTGTAAATTGATGCATATTATGAAGAAAACAAAACCAAACAAACTAAAAATTAATCTTTTTCCAAAGCAGTATCGAACTTGAAATTAGAGCCAAGGAAAATCCAGCAAAGTACCAAAACTACCTGGTTTTGGTGGAAGAATAAAATGCTATTAATGAAGATAATACACTTCTGGTTGTCTCATATATTTAAGGTCTGTTATTCACAGTCACTCCTTGCTTCAAGAAAACAGAGTATTTTAGGCTGAACAGGCCTGATTTGGCATGCTTTGGGACACCTTTTTTTTTGTGCAGCTCAGGACAAATAGCTACATTAGCCTTCGGAACACAAAAATTATTTGAAGCAAGGACAGACAATTTATTTTGGTATGTCCTGAATTGTAGCTTGATTTTGTAAATATACATTTTCTCTATTTTCCATATGCAATACTGTAGCTACCTACACCAGTGAAATTGTAATTGGTGTTTAAAATACAAATATCTTTATTACTTTTTAAATTTTTTTCATTGTACCTTGAATTTGGTGACTGATCTCCAGTGAAACACCCACCATTTGTCAAATAAGTTACAGGAATATGCCCCCTTTGCTCTTAAAGTACGCTGGCAAGGAATATCTCTCCTTTTAAAGCCACATATGGATGTGTAATACCTCCAGATCTGGTGGTGGAATATAGATCATCTTGTCCAGCCTTCCAGGACGGAGTAAGGCATCATCCAACATATCTGGTCTATTTGTTGCAGCAACTACCATGAAATCTTTGCTCAAATTTTCCTGAAACTCTAGCTGCATAAGAGATCACGTAAACAAATCAGTGCACATGTCTAGGATAAATATTATCAAAAGCTATTAGTTAACTACTAACGAGAAGAGGGGAAGGGCAAAAAAATAATGTAATGTTACAAGTAGTTATCTTCTCTTCAATATTAGTATTTTATCTTTCTTGAAGTTAAAAATTGCCTTGGTGCAATGCAGATTATATGACAAAGAATACAGTTAGTATCTGCCTTGGCAATGAAGACTTTTCGTTGACCAGATTGTAACAAACAACTTTTTATATGCAAAAAATTCAGTATCCTACAATTCTGAAACAGTTTTCTTTATTATTCCCTCAGAAAGTATCATCGTAAGAAAAAAAATATATACAAAAAAGCTGAATATTAAATGTTGTGAACAATTAATTGACAAGTGAAGGTATAAGTTTTTGTTTAAATAACTAACTGATCATAACTGTGCTGCTTTTGTATGCATTATGTGTGAGAAAGAACTGCAAATGAAGTAGGGGAAGTATTTAGAAAAAGTAAGCTCAGGGAAGAATTTGTTTAAGAGTAAAAATTGTGCAATCAATCTAAAAAATTACTTTAGTGTCAAGAAAAGGATTTTTGTGACAGAAGATGAACACCCAACTAATAATGCTCATTAGCCTGTGTGGGTATTTTGTGCAAACAAACCCTCACTGAGAAACAGTGTATGTAAAAACAATCAGCAGCCTATATACAGTATCTTCTAAAAACAACTAATTATGATAGAGTAAAACAGCTGCCTGTATGTTTTTAAGTTAAAGGATTTTAAGTTTAAAATGGGAATGCCAACAACTAAAATTTTTCAAACAACTGGACAGCACTTCTTCTTCCTATACAGAACAGGGAGCATAAATACCTTTCTTTCCTCATCACTTTGTTCTTGGCACTGAGCCTCAAGCTGTAGCTTGCCTCCTCTTCTTTCTGTAACTTTCAGCCCAACCCCATCCAGTTCATTGAGAAGAACAGAAAGAACCCGCTCTGAGACACCATGGCCAGTTCTGCAGAGTGCCCGAGATCCCAGGATAGAATCAATCTCATCTAGGAATATTATTGCTGGAGTATTTGCTCTTGCTTGGCGGAAAACCTTTTCAACAAATGTTAATAAAATAAAACATTAATGCCTGCAGTCTATTAGTTAAGGTGAAAAAAGAATCCCACTTACATGTACTCTGTATTTTACCTAACTTTAAAGGTACATTCATAATAATTCTTAAGAGCTGTTCTGGCTTACACTTACTATCGACAAATTCTGCTTCTTTTTTATATTCCTAAATGAACTGAAAACAAAAGGCTAGAAATCTAAAGTTATACACTGGGATAATTTTAAGGATAGACTCTCACTTTATCTACAAGTCAATCTGTAAGCCATTTCTATTGTATAATCAGCTCTATCATCTTTTCAACAACAGAAGTTAGGTGTAACGAACACTTTACAAAAATCAAGCAAAAACAGACTACAGAACCTTACACAAATTAAAAACTGTACCTGAGACAAAATCTTCTCTGAATCTCCAACGTAAGGTGAGAACAGGTCAGCACCACTTACAGAGAGAAAGGAACAGTGACAACTTGTGGCCACAGCCTTCACCAGCGTGGTTTTGGCACACCCAGATGGCCCATAGAGAAGAATACCCTTGGGATGAGACAGGCCCATCCTGGCAAATGCCTCAGGAAATTTCATAGGCCACTCAATACTCTGTCAATACATAAAAAAGGGATGAAATTCTTAGTAACAATAAAACTGCCAAGTATGTATTTTCCTCCCCTTGATACAAACATTAATTGGAAATCAGAGAATAGTGATTTAGTCTTTCCTCATAAAATGCCCTCTGCTTAAATTTTCTATTTGAAACAGAACTGAAAGTATTCCTGAAGAGATAACAGCCAAGAGCCATCCCTGGATAAACATTCAGGAATTGAAAAATTATCTGGCTACAAGTTAAGCATTTTTCAGCTACTAAAAACATGCCTATTTTCCTATGATATTACTATGCTCGGTGGTGGTAACTGCAAGATTCCTAATTCAAACATTGTGATAACACTGTAATAATGTTAAAAATACAATTTATAATCAGGTAATTTGCAAAAGAAATAATTTTCATAATGCAGCGTACAGAATACCTTGGAGTACATATTAGAAATTAGCTGTTTATCTAAATTAGTTTAATGCATTACCTGTTTTAACTTTAATTTCACATTGTCAAGACCACCAATTTGCTCCCAAGTTACAGGTTTGCACTCTGTTAGTCCAACTGCACTTCGAAAAGAGGATGGTTGAATTTTTTTAAAAGCTTCTTGGAAATCTCCCATGTTAACCATGGTTTCAGTTTCAGTTGAATCCTGAAAAATTAAGCCCAGATAGAGCATATTAACACCATTTTAATGCAATACTTAAATGCTGCATTAATATGCAAAACACATCACATAGCACTAAATACAACTAATAAGGAAGTCAATACCTGACCTAATGAGCTTAAACACAGCACATACAAAAGTGCAATATAAAGTAAAATATGACCTCTTTAATAACAAGTTTTTACAAAAAAAGTTTATCAGAAATAACAAGTTTTAATAAAAAAATTTAACAGAAATTAATGTTTCAGAGAAAACTACTAGTCCCTAAACTATACCTCTATTAGGCAGTGATCTGCTAAATCAAATAGTTGCTTTCAGGGTTAACATACATCACATCACACAATCTTACAAATAGAAATAAAAAAGTTGCAAAACCCATTTTCACCACACACTGAATAATGTAACATATTTTATCTGAAACAGGTTATAAAATGCCACTATTAAAGCACAGATACAGTAACAGGACTAAGGAGAGAACTTAAAGGAGCAAAAAATAGCATATTTATATTTATGACTGGTGTGATTCTTCAACATGTTGAGCTTTTCAAGTAAAGTATTAATGAGGAAAG